GGTTGTTTTGACCCAACCGCTGGGTCAAAACAACCCAATAGCTGGGTTTGTCCCTTTTTAACCCAGCATTTTTTAGAGTGCATAGAAGGTATTTTCTTCCATCTGCTGTGAAACTATTTAATAAAATGTGTCCATGATTTGTTGTACTTTGTGACAGAGATGTGGTGTTTGTGTATTTGGTGTAGTTTTTTCATGTATGTATTTTATAAAGATCTCATTTATAGTATGTTGCTACATTTAAATTGCCCCTCTCTGCGGATAAAAAAACTTTTATCAATCAATCAATCAGTCATGTGGGGGGGGGGATGCAAGGCAATAAGAAGAGAGTGCTAGCTTATACAACATTTCTAGAAAGTAACCTGTCATGTCATGTCATTAATCTGCCTCCATCTGACACACCTGTAAATAGTTTGCGATTAGGTGGGCATTAAAAGGAAAACAGTTCTGTAAACAGAAACGGAACTTAAATCACATTTGTTTTAAAAGAAAAACAAACTGAATGTCACTATAACATCTTATGCTGTGGACACACCCTGCGTGGTGTGGTGTGTATTGTGACGAGCGTCCCGAAGCTTCATCAGTGTCGCCCTGGAAACAAGTGAGGAGCACCTGGCCATCATCATCACAGGCTGATCGGTCACAGCTGCACCTCATCAGGTGGCGGCTACATAAACCACGCAAGCCCTGCCATCTAGGAGATTCCTCCATGAGACTGAGCACTAACTCGCCCTCTCATTTTCCCCACCGAAAGCAGCGTGTGACCGACCAGCCCCACAGGAGCACTGCACGGACCCTCTGCACTGGGAAGACGGAAGAGAGCACTCACGGCACCGGAGCACCTACCTGGACCTTTCTCACTAACACCTATCACCCCAATAAATCCACCCTCCGGGGTATTGATTGAGATTACTTGTCGTGTGATTCTTCACCCCGTTACAGTATATATACCTGCTTTCTGAAGATTTGCAATCAGCATTAGAAGCAACATGAGTGGTAAGTCACCACTTTGTCTTTGTAAAAATGTATCTGGTGCTTTTCTGGTCATTTGATTTATAAATCCATTTTAAAAATCTCATAATAATAACAACTTAAATGAGTTGGTTACACTTTATTTTAAGGTGTCCTTGTTACAGTGTAATTATACATATAAGTACTGAGTAATATTAATTAACTACGTGTATTTACTATATGGTTAGGATTTGGGTTTGTCTTAGGGTTACTTGCATGCAATTATGCATAATTAATTGTTATTTTAATAGTAAGTACATGTAACGTGTAATAAGGACACCTTAAATTAAAGTGTTACCAATGAGTTTGTATTGTAAATATAAAATATATTTTTTAATTCTAATATCTATCTAAATTTCTGAGTTTGCATTTTCCATGATATTTTGAGAATAATGCGATTGTGGTTTATCCAGGTGCAAACGTGCCTCCAGAGTGACATAGATCCATCAGACTGTAATGTCTATACAATGTATCATGGCACATCCAGGGAGGCTGCTGAAAAAATTAAACGCGAGGGTTTTCGTCCATCTACTCATGGCATGCTTGGACATGGTGTGTACGAGAGTCAGCCGAGATCTACAGAAGACCTCCAGATACCCTTTACATATACTCCGGGGGGAGGGGGGTCTCGAGCGATTCCCCCCTGGACCACTATTTTAACCGAGCCCCCCCCCCGCTGAAATTTCTCCACTACCCCTCGAGTAGTGTGTCCATGCCACTGCATCTACCTGAGAACCAGCGAGTGGTTCTGAGAGTGAAGGTCAATGTTGGGAAAGTCATAAGGATTGACCGTCAAGGTCATCAACATCAATATACCTGGCATGATATGGGTTATGATACTGCCTGGTGCCCTCCAAACTGTGGCATGGTGCCAAGTGGTCTTGAAGAATTTTGTGTTTGGGATCCAAGACAAATCACAGTCATTGATGAAATTCACCCAATGCCAGTACCTGGATAACTACTGTTAATGAAGTCTGTTTTCCCATCAAGTGTGGCATTTGTAGTTCTGAAATGTTTTTTTTGAAAATGTTATTTAAATGTATAACTGCACATGTGCTTTAAAATGGTAATCATGTACTGTGCATTCTGACCCTGCATTTTTACCTTTTAACCCATGTTTTATACATTTCATATTTTAATCTTGAAATTATCAGTACGCCAACTTTTATTCTTTATTTTATTTCACAAAATGAAGAGCTGTAATACCAGTGACATTTTTTTTATTAAAGATCAAAATGAACTATACCTTATATGCCATTAAAGCGTAGTTCTGAAATGTTTTTTTGAAAATGTTATTTAAATGTATAACTGCACATGTGCTTTAAAATGGTAATCATATACTGTACTGTGCATTCTGACCCTGCATTTTTACCTTTTAACCCATGTTTTATATATTTCATATTTTAATCTTGAAATTATCAGTACGCCAACTTTTATTCTTTATTTTATTTCACAAAATGAAGAGCTGTAATACCAGTGACATTTTTTTTATTAAAGATCAAAATGAACTATACCTTATATGCCATTAAAGCATTTTTCTTTCACACAAACATTAAACAATGTGCCACTGTGCAAAATTAAACAAGTGAACTGTGAGGAAAAATCAAATAGACATGTATTTTTTCATTGTGCTGGGAAATGAAGTCAATAAATTATGGGATTTATTTATTTATCTACACACTAATGCATTTCACTCGAAGCATTTTAAGATGCAGTACAATTGTTTGACATAACTTTATCAACAATTTTGGTACCCCTCAATAGCAGTCAAGAACCTTAATTATCCTTTAACTTATTACACACAGGACATGTCCTCAGCTGTGCTTTGGCTAGACACGTAAAAAGGCAAAAAAGTAAATAAATATACCTTCATAGAGGCAGCAACCAGCACTTACTTTACAGTAAAGGCAGAGCAAGTAGATTGAACAGCATTTCTTAAAATACCCAAATATGCTGAGAAATCAACAGAAATACTTTATTTAGACTCTGGAAATATGATGTCGTAGCTGACTGTTTCTTAAAAGGCTTCCCATAGCTGTATGATGCACAGAGGAACCAGAAGATTAAGCCAAGGATAACCCAGCAGAAACACACTGATGGCAGAGCAGGGCTCAACGCTGTCTGGAAGGCAAAGACAAGTTTAGGTTTAGGTAGAGAAAGTATTCATTCTAGTTTTATATAGTGACACCATAGAGCTGCTGTACCTAATTCAACAAACAGAGTCTTCTGGATCTTGGTTACTTTACAAATGAAAGTTGTATTCTCAGAGATGGCAAAGCTCATAATGGTCAGCCTGAATCCGTATGGTTCAAGCTCTGTCACAAATGTGTTATGCCTGAACTTGGGTTCAGGCATGATTCCAGAGATGTTGGTGTTTATGATGATCTCCTTTTGGCCTTTGGACATGGAGAACTCATAGTCTGTGTGGTAGTTGGGTCTGGGCTCCAGAAGGCAGTCCACTCTGAGGTCATTATCTTCCTCTTGGCATACTGTAATTACACTCTCTTCATCCTGACACAACACTGGGATCATCAGAACTGAAGATGAGAAATCATAAGTCCTGTTATAGATATTTGCAAATGTGCATGATGCTTTGTAAACATAACTGTAAAGTCAACAGTTCAGCAGTACAGCAGTGCATTCATTCAATCATTTTTTTAAATTTTTTTTTTTATTTTATGTTAAAAAGTTCTCACAAAAAAATATAGTTGTGATCACATGCTCAATCTCATGCCTCCTTTTTGTCCTGGATGCTCTTTTCCATTTAACAAAAGTGAGTCGGTAAAGCTACATTTAAAAAAAATAAAAAGTACAGAGAGGTCTACTTTTCTTTAGCTGTACATGAGGTAATGTATTATTGATTGTGATACATTTTTGTATTCATAGAAAAGTATACTTTTACATTTATATATTATATTATATATTATTATGGTATTAGAATTTATTTTTCTTTCTGTTGTCAAGAAAGAAATTAAATTAAGTTTGAAATTCGTAAACTTAAAGTTAGAAAAGACGTTAGAACAGTTGAATACAACTTTTAAATATATTTTTAGAGAATAAAATCTTATATTTTAATGGTTAAAAATGGTTGCATATTAAAAGCAACATTAGGAAAACATCTTCATCATTTTCTTACCTCCCAGAACAAGAATCCACCCAAACAAAGAGTTAAATGTGTTCATTGCGAAACTCTAGGTAGAAAAGAGGAAAAAGGAGAGTCATAAAACACTGTTAAATATCCCAGAAAAGAAACATTTGAACATATATAAATATACACTATTTGACTAATAATCGAATACATCTTTTGTTTTCCCAGAGCGTGTGGAGGTCTAAATAACCTTCCTGTGAAAAGCATTGCTGATGAATTAATAATTTTCTTTGAAATAACCATCAACAGTGACCACTGAATCTAGCCTGAAATCTAGCATGAAATGGTTTGAAAAAAAAATAGGAAAGCAAGCTGTTAAACAAACCTGCATTTTAAAATGTTTAGTCTTGTCAGCCATGTGGACCATCCATGAAACTGTGCTCTTCAGACAACAACAGTAGTGCTGTAGCTCCACCTAACTGCCTCACATAGCATTTCAACTCATGAAGCACTGCACTGCAGTGGACTGCAGCAGCCCCTCCCATCTGTGCTGCACTAATGCAACGTCTCAGACCACAACATACTAGAACATTATCATATGAGATATCTGTATGTCCATAATATTTCACCTACCCAAAGCAAAATACACTGATGAGAATCATGAAGGCCTTTTGCTGCTTTAATGAGTCCAATGTCATTCTTTAATGTAAAATAATCAGTGCAATACAGCACAATTTGTCATGAAATTTTCTGACAGGATGTACATTATCTTTTATATCATAAAAGCTGATCTCTGCGTAATTCTCAATCACAGGCCAAATCTTCTTTTGCCTGAGCAGGCCTGACATAGTTTCATACATTTACCTTTCAGAGGCTTTATGGTCGTGCTGTTTTAGTCCCAGTCAGTGATGTTTTCATTTGGCAGGACACCCTTTCCAGTGCTTCATAAGGCTTCGGCTCTATGGATAGAGGAAGGAGTAGAAGGAGAGAGGTTTTGAGAGAGGAGAGAAGGAAAATGGTTTGTCTCCCCCTTTTGAAAGAAATAGAAAATGCTATTTAACAAATGGTATGCAGCGTTTCCCACAATTTGAAATTATTTTGCATTGAGCTATGCATATGCATTTACAAGATGTTTCAGTATTTATGTTTGCGATTACAGTACCATTCAAAAGTTTGGGGTCTTTTTCTCACTAAAGCTGCATTTATTTGATCAAGCACATTAAAAACAGTAATATTGTGAAATATTGTTACAGTTTAAATCTGTTTTCGATTTTAATATATTTTAAAATGCAGGTTATTACTGTGATGGCAAAGCTAAATTTTCAGCAGCCATTACTCCAGTCTTCAGTGTCACATTCTTCAGAAATTACTTGATTCTTTAGAGAACATTCTAATATGCCAATTTGGTGTTCAAGAGCAATTTCTTATTATTATCAATGTTGAAAACAGTTGTGCTGCTTAACATTTTTGTGAAAACCAAAATACAATCTTTCAGGATTCTTCGCTGAGAAAGTTCAAAAGAACAGCAGAACTTGAGTAACATTTTAAATGTCTTCACTGTCACTTTTGATCAATTCAGTTTATCGGTTCTGTTTTAATGAACAGAGAGACAATTTACTATATGACTGTACAGTCACTGAACAACATTTATTGCATTTATTAATTATTAGTTATGGTTAATGTTACTTTCTATTGATACATTTCAACATATAAAGCTGCATATGTTAACATTAATGCATTTTGAACTATGAACTAACTATACCATATTTATAAATTAACATTAAACAACAAAATCATTTCAATAAAATAAATAAATGATTGTTCATGGTTATTTCAAGATAACTAAAGGATTAATGAACACCATAAATTGCTGTTGATATAGAAGGCTAATAAAGGAAAACCTTGAGGTATGGATTACTTTTTTTCTAACTATATAGTATATAAACATGTATCATATTATGAAAAAAATTAAACATAAACATCAGCAGAATAGAATAAAAAATTATGTTCCTTTCAATATTTGGAGTGGGCCATCATTTCCTAAATATGACACAGTATAAATTTAGGAAATATAAATATTAATCAAAATAAATATCTTTGCTTTTGCTTTTTGACTTCATATTTAACATTACTAACTGAAATAAATACATCAGATCTGTCGTTCCCTGACAGCCGTCAATCATTTGATTCTCTTGCATTTATTTTCAGTAAACACTGTGGGTGCGCCCTAGTGAACTATTTCTTTGTTGCTCTTTGCATTTAAATTAGAGGACAAATTAGCATGTAAAAGGCCTTTATTGTCATTTTCTAAGATTGATGCAGGTATATTCAATACCGCTAAGATTTCAGTCAATCAGAAGAAGACTGATGCACCTCAGACAAATGCTGTTTCTAGACAGGTGAATATCACACACCACAGTGTTCATTGTTGCTTTACTTTCATGGGAACGAATGATTATTTATTAAAGAGATTACAGAGAGTGACATCTCTAGTGTTTCCTTAAGTGACAATGTATGCTTTTCGAAAAGCACTGACAGCTCATTGCTGAGGTTGAGAATTAATTCCACTGTTTTATTTTGAATTGTTAATTTGCCTCAGCTGATAACAAGGATGTTTTACATTTGAAAGGATATCAAAATAAGCCATGACAACCTGCCCTTCACATCAAATGAAGAGATTAATTAATCTGTACCATACAAATGTTGCTCATTAATGCATTGCTTTGGAGTACCTACAAAAAGATGAAAAATGCCTATTTAATTTTATTCAAATAACACAATAACAACAATGAATTTCATAGTCATATTACAAATAGTATTGTAAGTAAGAATAAATTCTAATCAGATTCTACTGCCGTAAACAATGTTTTCATCAGTATGATATAATGACAAGGCAATTTTATTGCAACTTATAATCTAAATTCCATCCACTTAACTTAAAAATTCTACTCAATTTTAGTACTTTTATAGAGTTTTCATTCATTCATTCTCTGAACCACTTGTTGTATGTAGAGTCATGGCAATTTTTCATCCTTGTGCAATTTAGTTTAAGGAAGCAATTAAGTTTTTATTTAGTGGGATGAAATGTTTACTTTGCATTACAGCATGTACTGAAATTATTAATAAAAAAAGCTTCCAGATCAGCTCTTCTGTTTCAAAATACAGCATGAATTGCCTTCCACAGCATTTGCATTAATGTTTTTACAAAAGTTAAAGTACTCCTATACAGTACTAAACTGGTGTTATACGATTGCAGTGTCTTTGGTAACATAAAATATACTACATTTTACATTATATTAGCACATAAAGATAGTCCTCACTTTATTTTTTGAGCATTGGACACTGCAATGCAGTTCTGAAATTGCATATTCTTTTATTGAGCACCAGAGGGAGGTGGAGGACTGTGCCTTTGAGACGCGCACGTACAATAAATGGCCTTTAAATTCATATCCCAAATGCTTTATAAACCAGAATCTGGGTGTTATCACACCTTAAAGCTGATCAGTGATAGACCATACTGTTGAAACGTACGAGGAACTATTCACAAGACTGTACTTCGTTTTACTTGTTATTTCTGCTGCGCAGTTGAGCTCCGCCTGGAACTGTGATCCATTAATCGTCTTGCCCTTTAATCACCCGACGAATCAGACGAGAGCTGCAAGTTGGGCGCAACTTTGAATTTTGTGCTGGTTTGCGTCAACTGACGTTTTCGAAATATCCTACAGTTTAACTGGGACCAGGGTTTACTGTTAGGTGAAATTAATACGACGAGTTTCAGCGGAACAGATGAGGCTTAGAGACTTTTGTCAAAAGCGCATGGATGAGGAGGATAACCGCTCCAGGACGATAGGACAACAACTGAGCGAAGAAAACCCGTTCAGTCTTTAGTCTAGGCTGCAACTTGACAGAGACCGTAGGTTTATGTTGATACGGTCATCCATTCTTCTTTAATCTCTTTATTTTATGTTCGATCCGCTGCCCACGCGCGCAGTTCAAAGTGCGTCTAGATGCGCGTAATTGTTTTACTCAATCGGAGTATTGAAGGGTTCGGTCCAGTGCGTGGTGTCCATCCGAACTGGCTGACAAGTTCAGATTAACAATTGGACATCTGAATATCTTTTTCCTGTAACATCTCAATACATGGGTAACCTGGATAATAGTTCTCTAAGGGATTGTGCATTCTGTTAAACTCATACCTCACCACCACTTGTTTTGAAATCGGTACATCTTAAACAAGACCATGATGATTTTAAAATTGGTTCTTCCGCTGATGTCCATCGTTTTGACACGAGGTAAGACAGTCTCTTTCTTGTTAGTGTGCTTTAATATCTCTCTGTCTCAGTTTACGTTGTCGATCACTTCTGTTTTTCAAGACCAATTGCTTACTATTACGGACTATTTAAAAGGATTTTTAAAACAATAACCGCGAAATAATTCATGAAAACGTGCATTTAAATTATTATTATTAATAATAGTAGTAGAAGTAATATAATAATAATCAAAATCATCATCATAATAATATTAATAATAATAAAAACAAAAACAACAATAATTTAGAAAATGCTATTTCTTTAACATTTAACTTAGGCGTTAATTAAAATAATCGTGTGCTATTCTTTAGAGCACTCAGTTTATCATATAACCGATATTAAAGAATCATTTATGTAGAAAAGTGTAACTTAAAAACAAAACAAAATATTGGCCAAACTGGTAGTTGGTCACTCTTCACTACTGATCAGTATTGTATTGTTTCTGACCAATACCAATTATTTTTATGTGTCTTATAACCGATATGCAGAATCAGATTTTCGTTGTTTTATTTCTGCTTTTTGACACAGTATTATTTAAATACCCCATGTTTCCTGTAGAACATACATGAATTGTTCATATATCAGTAAAAATATCCATCTGTCTCTAATGTAAATGTAAATCTTCACAGAGAACAACATAACGAAGAGTCAAATATGTTGAATGGTGGCTCTTAAAAGTTCAGAATTATTTCACACTGTATATCTCTTTATATTTAAAGCTTTCAGCTTTTAGAGTTGAAATGTTATTAAAATTCATGTAATGCAAGGGTCTGGTTAAGCATGAACTGTCATAATTACTTCCGTTCTGGCACTAAACATGCTCTGTTGAATTGAACTGGATTTACCAATGTATGTAACATCAGAATCACTGCTTGTGATGTAACAGCGTAAGTCTGCAGAGTCTGTATTTTTACAAACACATGGGCTGTCTGAGATGTCCTAGACACTATGCTACATTTAAGAAACATCTGGTGAATTGTGATTGTTTTTTTCGTGAAAGTGAAGGCAATCCGCTTGGGTTGGGGAATAAATCAACAGCTCAAGCAGTCACATGTGCAGCGTGCTGGATTTATATAGTTGCAGCAATATTTTCTTTGTGCTGTTTGTAGTACTCATCTATTAATGTATATATCAGCTCTGGAGAATGAAATATTGACCATCTCTCTCTTATTTCTCTAAGTACGTGAATCAAAACACTTTTACATTTGGAAAACACAGACTACAGTACTTAACATGTTGCTCAAATGTTCATGTTGTTGTTCATTGTGGCCTAATGCTTTGAGAGTTGGACTTGTAGCCCAAAGGTCGCAAAGTTGTGAGTCTCGGTACCGGCAGGGATTGTAGGAGGGGGGATTGAATGACCAGCGCTCTCTTCCACCCTCAATACCCCGACTGAGGTGAGACCCTTGAGCAAGGCACCGAACCCCCAACTGCTCCCTGGACGCCACAGCAAAAATGGCTGTTCACTGTGTGCGTGTATGTGTGTGTTTGTTCACTACTCACTGCTGTGTGTGTTGAATGGGATAGATGCAGAGCACAAATTCCGAGAATGGGACACCATACTTGGCTGCACGTCACGTCACGTAAAAGTGTGGGAAATAGGCTACTGGCATCTTTGAGAGCTTTATCATGAGAGTTTATCATGCTTTAAATCCCCATTTTAGTGGATTTTATAAAGGTTATTGAGCCCCAAAATGTTTAAATGTGGTTACAGTAAGAATTAAATCCTTATTCAAACACCCTTGTTTAATCCCCTGCAGTTAATGCCACAACATTAGGTTAACAAATATTAATTGATATTTTGCTTTATATGCAAAACATGTCACACAACTTTATATATATATAATATATATATATACACATACACATACAAAAGACATTTTAGGACTAGTTTTTGCTAGTTAGAAGTGAGAATTGTGCCTCGCCTTTGTTTGAACAAGCATTTGAAAAATGTGCTAGTGTTGAAGAGATGGTAAAATAGTACAAAAATATTTGTATGTTTGCATGACACTTTTGGATGGACATTTGTCAGATTTGTGTTTGATTACAACAATTTATGCTTAATATTGTTATTACAATTTGTATAACATTTGTAAAATTTTGGATTGCTGTGTCTTTATTGTTTTGGATAATGCAGTCTCTCATTTTATTTACTACTTTTTCCTTGAGGAGATCCCAAAACAGAACATCACTAGGGGTGAAACTTGAGTATGATTTCTGAACTGTTATCAGTAACAACCACAGAAACTGGTTTCATGTCATCTTGACTTCATGTCATCTTGATATAGAAAGGAAACAGCAGGATGTTTAGCAGCTGGTGAACTTCCTTAAGAACAATCTCAGTTGATTTCTAAAATGATTAACAGCATCAGAAATTTGACGTGTGTGAAGAGTGTGCAAGTTTTTTCTTACACCACCTGAAAAATAATTTTTTCTACTTGTCAGTTAACATAATGTGTATCATAACTCACTTTAGTATGAAAATATTTGCTAAGAGCATAACTAAATGTAATATAATAATAATAATAATAATAATTCATTACATTTATATAGCGCTTTTCTAGGCACTCAAAGCGCTTTACATTGTCAGGGGTGTCAGGGGCATCCACCACCAGTGTGCAGCATCCGTGAGCACCCCCTGCTGGCCTCACTAACACCTCTTCCAGCAGCAACCTAGTTTTCCCAGGAGGTCTCCCATCCAGGTACTGACCAGGCTCAGCCCTGCTTAGCTTCAGTGGGCAACCAGTCTTGGGCTACAGGGTGATATGGCTGCTATATAGATGTGAAATGTCATGTAGAAAGTTCTTGACTTTTTGAATAATGAAAAGAGAACTTGCATATTTTAAATCCCTGTGAAATATGAATGAATTCTTCCATTTGCAGCTCTAATTAGAAGGAATTATTAAATAACATTGTATATGTGTGTGTGTGGCCTGTCTGGTGTTAAGCGTTGTCTGGTCCTGCTGTGGCTGATCCTGACCCACTTTCCCCCCTTACTATCAGCGCTCCCTCTTTAACTGCCACTGAGCACATGCTCCCACCATCTGTTATCCCCTGGCCCGTTGCCATGGCAATACTGGGAGTCTTTTCTAAACGGGCAGTGCAGTAGTCCGTGGGTAATGTAGTAAAGGACTGAACTCCAGCAACAGGTCATTGTACTAAAACCACAGCGTTGGCATAAGCCAGCTCAGTACATGTGACGCAGCCCTCTGAGCTTGAGTAATGATGAGCTGTGATTAAGTTGAGGGACTAATCACTAAAATGATTCAAATACAAAGTTCTGTCATGAAACTCTAGATGGAGCAGGCCGATAGGTCTCAATCTGAAATAATGACATCATTATTCACGATCGGTTATTTTTGTATAAGCAGCTAATGAGCTTGCTGCTCAGACATTCAAATTCTCGACTAGTGCTCGCTGTAGCAGTTGCAGTATGCTTCAGAAACCCTCCACCTTCCCCAGCTCCACCTGTATAGATCTGCTACGGGGTGATTTCATGTATGTTTTATATGGGGTTGTCTCATATATGTTATATTTGCAGCAGCAGTATTTTTTACATGCTCACAGCAGCCTGTCATGGCTGTACTGGCAGTAGCAAGTCTCAGTACTTGCTCTGCAGCAGCAGCGTTGCAGATCTATTCCACCAAGACCTAACACATTGACATTGCCATGTATATTACCATGCTAAACTCTCCGAGAGTTGTCATGGCAGAACTGTACTAGCCCACCAGATGCAAATGATTACCATGGGGGGGGAAATCATCAGAAATGAATATCAAATAAATCTGGAGTAAGAGCTTTCTGTGGTTGTGGGGATTTTGATTAATCTCAGTGACTTTTGAATTTATAATATAAGCATTTATTCAGTTGATTCATCTTTCACGATTGAAACAAGTCTTAGTATCCTCTATTTTAATGTGTGTGTTTATAAATCTACTAAGAAATTCCATATAGAGTGTATAAGCATCCCAAGCAAGTTATTCTTTTTTTTTTTTCTCAGAGTTGAGAAGTTCTTAAAGGAACACTCCACTATTTTTGAAAATAGGCTAATTTTCCAACTCTCCTAGAGTTAAACAGTTGTAGCGAATCAGCTCATGGGGAAATATGAATAATTAATCATAACAAGTTATAATTAATTATAAATATTTAGATCCGCTGTAGATATTTACTTGACCTCTCAGGGAGTGGAGTGTTCCTTTAAAGCACTTTATTTTTGTACATGAAATGATAAAAGAAGATTGGCGTCATGCGTGTAATCATTTTTTGGATATGCAGCAAATGAATTGCAAGTATTGAGTTTTTACTCTTTTAGAAGTGTTTATTTATAACTTGCCGTCACATGTGGACTGAAAAAGTGTACAAAATCCTTCATTTTTATTTTTCAAATGCTAGGTAAGTGTTATTTTAGTGTTATTTATAGTAAAATGATTTTTTCATGAACTAAACAGGACTTCGTGTTCTGTCACGTGTACTGATGTTATTGTCTTGTATTCTCCAGTTGTATCATGTTCTGATCATTATGTTCTCTTGTCCTTCTCGAATTATGCATGGCTAAGCATAATGACTGCAGATAACTAAATTAGAAAAAAGAAGATCAATGATACTATCCTCCCAGACAGATGTGAAATGAACAAACAAGACTTCAGTGAAAAAGATGTGTTTTCTTCAAACACTGTATAAGCAACACTCATCTTATCTCATCTTCCTCTGTATGTCTGAGCTGATTGAGCGTATATAAATCCAACATTTCCTCTATAGAGAAACCCAATAAACCCAGTCAAAAGAGAGATATCAAACTCGAGTGTTGTAGCGCAGTGTCACTGTATGTAATGGAAGGTCCACTGGTGAAAATTGATAACCCTGCCTCATTGTATTATTCACAGAGAGGGCTCTCACGGCTTACTGGCACATCATATTAAGTATGATAGTTTGCTTAAGGCAGTGTACTGCTGTAGTGCTCAACTCTGGTTAGCGTCACCCAGTACTGGTATTAAAGCTGAAGTATGTATTATCTGCACCTCTAAATTCACCAAAGAATAATGATCAATAATGGACAGTATTACTCCGTATTTTCATTGGATAATCCTGCCTTCAAACCGACTCCATTGGTTGTGTATTGAGCCAAAGTGGGCGATCAGTCTATGAATAGCTTAACTATTATTGTCTTTGCATATCAAGCTGGAAAAGAGTAAGTATTTAAACATTAAAATTAAAATATTAATTAATTGAGATATGGACAAGGCTGTGTGGGTATGTTTCTGTTCCCTTTTATGTTTGCTAGCATCAAGTGAATATTAGATGATGATTTTTGCCATACCTGCAGTCTTATATGTATGACAGTATATTTTCAAATAAATGGCTATAAGTAACCTTTGTGTATTTCAAGAAGTGATTATCACAGAAAAGTGAGATAATTTTTAATTAAACTTATCATTGGTGGCTGCATCTGTGTCATTGAGTTTGAGATAAAGCGTCCGTGGATTGTCTTTAAACACGATGAGTTAGTTTCTTTTTGAAAATTAGGGACAGACTTGAATGTTGTTTTTCTGCTATTACAATGGCTTGTTGGCGTATTAAAGCGATTCGCAGCGCTTTTGCGGATATTGCCAGCTTTGCCGGTCTGCTTTTAGATTAACAGCCTAGTGCTTAGAGATAGAGCAAATTGTGATGAGTATCATGATGGACGGCTCTCAGGGAAAACAGCAGCGCAGCAATGCTTTTGTGTTTCTGATGGTACTGTTAAAATAATTGCTATTTCACACATTTACAAGAAGTACACTGCAAAAAATGCTTTTCTTACTTAGATTTTTTGTCTTGTTTCCAGCCTAAATATCTAAAAATTCTTAAATCAAGAAGGATTTTCTAGACAAGTAAAAATTATTGTCTTGTTTTCAGAAAAAACAAGTCAAAATTAAGTTAGTTTTTGCTTAGAACAAAATAATCTGCCAATGGGGTAAGCAAAATAATCTTATTTCAAACAGAAAACAAGATTATTTTGCTTACCATACTGGCAGATTATTTTGCTTGCATCATAAATCAGACTTTTTTTCTCACAATTATGAGAAAAAAGTAAGAATTGTGAGTGATATAAACTCAGAATTCTGAATTTCTTTTTCACAATACCGAGTTTACTTCACGAAATTCAGACTTTTTTTCTCAGAATTTACATCAGTTTACATCAGGTTTTTTTTGCCACAAAATAAAAAAAAATGTAACTGACTTTATCTCACAATACAGACTTTTTTCATGCAATTGCGATCTTATATTGGGAAAAAAACTGAATTGTGATATAAAATAATAATAATTATCACAGTTTGCTAGAAGTAAAGAATATGAATAATGACTGGGAATATAGCATATGAATCATCTCAAAAACTGAATGTTTCCTAAAATAATGATTACTTACTTTAAGTGTTGAATATTTTCATAAAAGTTGATAAAATGTAATCTCATAATCCTGACCTTACTCCCGAATAATGATCTGCAAATCTGGCCGTACTGCCCAAAACATGACTAATGGATATCACAAACAGTAAATGATTTCTAGAGTAAATGTTTATCTGTTAATGACAAAGGATGTGTGGATGGCATTCTGTGGCATCTCTCTTTATGTAGGTATCTTTGCAGGTTAATGCAGCATCATGCATAGGGCAGTGCACTAATATTCTCTGTCATGTGGTTGGAAGCAATGCTGAACTTCAATATCCTGAGTGCTGTAATCTGCTGCTGTCGTTAACATCCTCTAACCTGTCGTCCAGCAGCCCCCATTCAGCAGGGCTTCTCTGTGTTTGCGCAGGAAAGCATGAGCTCATGAGCAGCCCTAAAGCCTGGGAAAGAGAGTGTGTCCCAACCCCCCCACCCCCACGCTGTCTGCTCTAATCCAGGAGGCTTTCTGCCTGCCACTGACTCGCATTTTTCAATTATTATTCATGTTTCAGATTTTAGTGTGTGTTTTAATGGGCTCCATTCTCTTTCTATATGAACAGTTTTATTTAACCATGTTGTCTGTTTTGGTATTGATTATTATAAACTTTACAATTAACCACAAAGTAATGCATTGCCCTCCCACTCAAAATTTGTTTCAGTCAATAAAAAAAGAATAAAAAAATTAAAAAGTAGTTTTGTACTATGATCATCACAGTTTAACCAGTTTCGGCTACACTCTGCCATGCAGCTACATGCTTAATTTTATTAATTATCTGTATTTTTTGTCTCTTTTTACCTTTTATGTATGAATTATTTTTCACAGGTTACATTCTCTTTCTATATTAACAGTTTTATATAGCCATGTTGTCTATTTTGGCATTAATTATTATAAACTCTAAAATTAACCACAAAGTAACGTGTTTACCTCCTACTCAAACTCGTTTCTGTCAATTAAAAAAAAAGAATAAATAAAAAAATCCTTGTGTTTTGAATCCCATACACTCTTTTTGTCATCATTTAAAACATGCAAATACCACTACTGACATATCTGAACCTCCCTGCCCCAGAAAGGACTAGAATTTTCCACAAAAAAAAGAGGGGAAAAAATGTTGTGTTTACCGTTATGTAAGGGACTTTGCCTCACAAAAGTGCAGCCTTGTTTTGGAGAGGGATTGTCTCCTGTTTTAAGTGGTTTAACACTAGGACTCCTCTGGCTACGTGGAGGCTTGGGATTGGAGTATCACGCACATGTCCCGCAGGTAAACACAAGCTGTGTTTACAGACACCCTTTAGCCGGGGCGGGTGAAGTACCTCTCTGTATCTTATTGTAGCCGTGGTTCTTAAACCCTCCTATTTTAGACAACTAGATTTAAGCCTCAGTCTCAGTGGCAAGGAGCTTCTGCACCTTATTTACCAGCTACAGGCCCACTGTAAATAGACTCGTCTCCATCTTTCATTACTCCTTGTCCTCTATATGCTATTGTAGTGGTAGACAGAGAAGTCTTTGTAAGCCGATAAGATGAATGTACCCATTTGGGAAGTTAATTGGCCCAGTTCTGAAAACACAGGACCCATATTTACAGTATATCTCAGGATGGAGTGAGCACTTTTGATCGTCTTTGCTTAAACATAAACATAAATTAAACAAAATTACAGCAGTTTTATACATTTCCTTTTAATTTTAAATTCAAATTAAATATCCTGGTTGAGGTCCTACCTCAATTCAAATCCAAGTCATATTCAGGAATTGAATTGGAATTTACATTAAATTCTGAGTTAAGTTGTGAATGGCACAAAATCCTTGAATAAGCCAATAAATGTTTATATTTTCATAAAAATGAAAAAAAAAAAAAATTTTTTTTTTTGTTCTGTTGTTTGTTTTTGATTTGACACTAGATATCTTTCCAGTTCATCCACATGTTGTGTGAAATGACTGTTAATCTTTCTATTCCCAGGTGTTCATGGTCAAATGGTCCAGATGGACAGCAGTAAGTCAGGATTTGTGGGCTCACAGGTAGAGCTACGCTGTCAGTTTGTCAACAGCAACCCACCTGTAAAAATCTCACAGGTCACCTGGCAGAAGCTTGTCAATGGCACCAAGCAGAATGTCGCCATTGCCAATCCAGCCCTGGGGGTGTCGGTTCTGAGCCCCTTCAAAGAGCGTGTGCGTTTCAAGAACCCCGCCGTCCGCCAGCGCACACCTTCCCTGGAGGACACCACCATAGTCTTCAACAAACTAAAACTGTCGGATGAATCCACCTACATCTGCGAGTACACAACCTTCCCAGCTGGCAACAGGGAGAACATGGTTAATCTCACTGTTTATGGTATGTAATGCTGCTGTTCTCCTAATACCAACTGTACAGCAATCTTCCCAGACCACCAATACCACAAACGCTGACTGTATTATGCATTTAAAAATATGACTTCAGATGAGATTTAAGAGCTGAATAACTTCAATGTCAGTTGGCAAGTAAAGATTTAAAGGAATGGTTCACCAAAAATGAAAATTTACTCACCCTCAGGCCATCCAGGATGTTTGTTTTTTTTTTCATCAGAAAAGATGAAGGGGAAATTTAGCATTACATCACTTTCTCACCAATGGATCCTCTGCAGTGAATGGGTGCCGTCAGAATGAGAGTTCAAACAGCTGATAAAAACATCACAATAATCCACAAGTAATCCACACGTCTCCAGTCCATCAGTTAACATCTTGTTAAGTGAAAAGCTGTGTGTTTGTAAAAAACAAATCCATCATGAAGACATTTTAAATAAACCATTGCTTTCAACTGGCCAACCTCAGCTTCGCCACTGGAGTATTTCAACCATTTTTTTGGGGGGGGGGTAAGCTGTTCCTTTAACATTGAACAAGTTCAAGGCCCTTATTAGATTTAGATATCTTGCATATCTTACAGATACATAAAACCAGTAAGTCCTTGGTGATTAAGCTTTAGTGATTAATTGAAAACTCACAATCATCAGATTACTCTCAGTACCTGAGCAGCGTAAAAGTTTACTGTTGCAGTGCTTACAGTTAGCCGCTGTGGCATGAAACAGGCCTTTGGAGCCAAGATTGTGCTGCAGTGGATTTTGCTCACATCACATAAACTGAGATTTATTTTTTGGTTTCGAGATTAGTGAAACTTTTGATTTCACAGAAGAATAATTTCTGTGTATATTGCATCATTTTTCAAGTTGAAGAGGCCTTTGTCTTATTATTATTATATAGTGCATTGAAGTTCTTAATGAGAAAAAAAAACACAAATAATCTGAAAATCTTGCAAAACATAATATGGCACAGAATATTACGGTAATCCAGTGGTTGTCTGCAGTGCATGAAAAATCCCAGTGTTCTAAGCCTATGTAGCTGTGGCATGAAACAGACCTTTGGAGCCAAGATTGTGCTGCAGTGGATTTTGCTCACATCACATAAACTGAGATTTATTTTTTGGTTTTGAGATTAGTGAAACTTTTGATTTCACAGAAGAAGAATTTCTGTGTATATTGCATCATTTTTCAAGTTGAAGAGGCCTTTGTCTTATTATTATTATATAGTGCATTGAAGTTCTTAATGAGAAAAAAACCCACAAATAATCTGAAAATCTTGCAAAACATAATATGGCACAGAATATTACGGTAATCCAGTGGTTGTCTGCAGTGCATGAAAAATCCCAGTGTTCTAAGCCTATGTATTTGTCCTGCAGCTCGTCCTATGATCCAGATGAGTCTGTCCACACCCTCCATAGTAGCGGGAACCAAAGATCTGAAGATGACTGTTTCCACGTGCGTTTCTGCCAATGGGAAGCCACCCAGTGTGATCACATGGGAAACTGATTTAGATGGAGAATCCAACACCCAGGTGATACGCAACCCTGATGGGACTGTCACTGTGCGCAGTGATTACTTGGTGGTTCCCAGTCGAGAAATACACCAACAGTTGCTCACCTGCATCTCCACATATAATGACGAACAATACACAGACAGTGTGATGCTCAACATTCAGTGTAAGAAACCAGCTATACACTACTGTTCAAAAGTTTGGGGTCAGTAAGATTAAAAAATAGATAAATAATACTTATTCAGCAGGGATGCATTAAATTGATCAAAAGTGACATTAAAGATATTTACATTGTTCCAAAAAAAATATTTTTCAAATGCTGTTCTTTTGAACTTTCTATTCATAAAAAAATATGGAGAAAAAAATGTCTCTCTGGTTTCATAAAAATATTAAGCAGTTAATATTAATATTAATATTAATATTAAACTGTTTTCAACATTGATAATAATGAAAAATGTTTCTTGAGCATCAAATCAGCATATTAGAATGATTTCTTAAGGATCATGTGACACTGAAGACAGAAGTGGCTGAATTCAGACTTCTTTCAAAACATTTAAAAATCTTACTAACCCCAAACTTTTGATCCAGCATATTTTTAATTTATTAAAAGTCACTTTAATTTAAATTAAATTATTTTATTTTTTAATTATTCATTTATTTAATTTATTTTAATTTATTATTTATGTCTAGCACTTATTAATACAATACTTATTATATCTCTGTTTGTTTGTTTTGTTTGTTTTTTCAATTTAGCTTAATAGTAATTGCAGTTTAGCTTTTAATTTAAAATGTATTTAAAATACATCATCATTAGTTCTCTATTAAAATAATTGTATTCTAAATCTTCATTACTGTTAAATTCCATTTTATTAAGTGACCATTGAAGGAAAGAAAAAAAGAGAAAAGTTTAAATTTATACTCTATTTTCCCCTTGTTTACAGATGAACCAGAGGTGATAATAGAGGGCTTCGATGGGAACTGGTATTTGAACAGAGAAAACGTTCAGCTCACCTGCTTGGCTGATGCCAACCCACCCGTCTCTTTGTTTCAGTGGAGATAGTATGTCACTTTAGTCTACCTAAATAACAATTCTGTGCTAATTTATTTATCATTCAAAGAATGTTCAGTTAAAATACATTGAAATGGGTGATGATCTCAAAATATACCATAGCCTAAATTACTGAATATTATGTATTATATCAATACCAAAGAAATGTGTCATTACCACAGAAAATAATGTAAACTCTGTTTGCAATGCACTTAAAATGGAGATCCATGAGGCAAGGCATTTCTTGTGAAATATGAAGCTCATAGTTTTGTTGAACTGCTTATCTTGTTTCTTCTAGTCTCGTGGCTATACTTTCTGGCTATACATGTCTGTTTTTAATAGAAGTGCATTATTATTGAGGGTCGAGTCAAAATTATTTTTTGTGGAAAATTAGAGTCTGATACAAATGTAATTTAACTTTTAATTCATTTTCAATATTAATTCCAGAACACTCATCTGTCATATTCAAAACATTTATGCTTTTTTCAGTTGTTGGCATCTTAACATCAGTCAAATCTTACGCATGACCTGATTTCAACCATATTTCTCTCTCTAGCTTGAATGGAACTATGCCGAGTACAGCAGAGCTTCGCGATGATGTGCTGATCTTTAAAGGTCCCGTAACTTATGACATCGCAGGCACATACATCTGTGACGCCACCAACAGCATTGGGACAGGCTCTGCATCTGTTGAGGTCATTGTCACAGGTGCGTTGTTTACACTTCCTACTCGACTGAAAGCATGCGGCTTAACTGCTTCTGTGCATGTGGATATGCATGTAAATCTTTAAGCTTACTCTCGACTGCCTCTGAAACATCACTTAATCATGCCATTGTTTTCTCAATAAACAATGTAGACACTCACTACCTGCCTGTATTTAGTTCTTCAGCCCTAAGGTGTTTTGCTTTGATTAACTTGCTTGCTGGCGCAGCATTTTGCATGTGACTACAAGTTGTCTGCATGTGGCTCCTGAATGAACCTTGATCTGTGAGGATCTCTTGAGTCATATTTTCTTCTTTGCATGCTGTGAGCATAAGGTGTGGTCTATAGAAACTTCATGTTTACATTTACTTGTGTGTACATGTACTGTATGTGTTGTTCTGGCCTGCTGCATGGTTCAGTGTCTTTGCCGTAGTGATGGCACCTGGGATTGCATTTCCATGTGTAAGATATACAAAGAAATTAAAAGTTTCCCCCATTCCTACTCCCTCTTTCTACCCATGTTGCTTTTTTAAAGACCTTTTGAAATCAAAATTGAGCTTTGTTGCTTTTATGTGGATATGCATGTAAATCTTTAAGCTTACTCTCGACTGCCTCTGAAACATCACTTAATCATGCCATTGTTTTCTCAATAAACAATGTAGACGCTCACTACCTGCCTGTATTTAGTTCTTCAGCCCTAAGGTTTTGCTTTGATTAACTTGCTTGCTGGCGCAGCATTTTGCATGTGACTACAAGTTGTCTGCATGTGGCTCCTGAATGAACCTTGATCTGTGAGGATCTCTTGAGTCATATTTTCTTCTTTGCATGCTGTGAGCATAAGGTGTGGTCTATAGAAACTTCATGTTTACATTTACTTGTGTGTACATGTACTGTATGTGTTGTTCTGGCCTGCTGCATGGTTCAGTGTCTTTGCCGTAGTGATGGCACCTGGGATTGCATTTCCATGTGTAAGATATACAAAGAAATTAAAAGTTTCCCCCATTCCTACTCCCTCTTTCTACCCATGTTGCTTTTTTAAAGACCTTTTGAAATCAAAATTGAGCTTTGTTGCTTTTAGACATTGTCCATTATGGTAGTGTACTACTAAAAGTGTTTACACTACTGAACAAAAGTTTGCGGGAAGTGATGTTTTACTTTTTATTTATTTATTAAGAATACTTTTCAGTAGGGACACATTCAATTGATGCAACGAAAAGACATACAGGTGCATCTCAATAAATTAGAATGTCGTGGAAAAGTTCATTTATTTCAGTAATTCAACTCAAATTGTGAAACTCGTGTATTAAATAAATTCAATGCACACATTTATTGAGATGCACCTGTATATAATGTTATGTTGCTAAAGATTTCTTTTTCAAATAAATGCTTTTTATTGATCAAAGAATCCTGAAAAAATTCTTGACCACCAAAGAACCATGTTAGAATGATTTCTGAAGGATCACTTGACATTAAAGACATTACACTCAAGAGTAATGACTGCTGAAAATTCAGCTTTGCCATTATAGGAATAAATTATATTTTATAATACATTCAAATAGAAAACGGTTATTTTAAATTGTAGTAATATTGCACAATATTGCAGTTTTTTACTGTATTATTGATCAAATAAATGCAGCCTTGGTGAGTGAAAAATATATATATATATATATATTTTTTTTTATACAACTTATACAAGCTAATCTGCTGTTACTCATGCATGAAACATTAAATGGTACATGCATGCATAATTCTAAGCTAA